GGCCGTAAGCTTGTGCAGCCGCAGCAAGAGGAGGCGGAGGGGGGACCTGGTGGCTGCCTACAAGCTCATCAGGGGGGAATCAACAGCAAATAGGCAGAGCTCTTTTCTACCCAGCACCACCTGGGGTGACGAGGAACAATGGTCATAAGCTGATGGAGAATAGGTTTAGGTTGGAGATCAGAAGGCAATATTTTACAGTTAGGGTGGCCAAAATCTGGAACCAACTGCCCAGGGAAGTGGTCCTCGCCCCTACCTTGGGCAAATTCAAGAGGAGGTTGGACGATCACCTGTCTGGGGTCTTGTGAACCCAGCATTCATTCCTGCCTGTGGCAGGGGTCAGGCTAGATGATCTGTTCGGGTCCCTCCTGACCCTAGCTACTATGAAACTAGGTGGGCAGACTGCTGGGGGCTTGGGGCTCTCTGCCCTGCTGCCTTTGCCCTGGGGGCCCCATGCCAGCCGCGTGTCTCCTGCCCGCCTGGCAATGGGAGGCAAAACTCACCACCTCCACTGATGCCAGGAGGGCAGGGGATGTACAGCTGGCACAGGGCTCCTGGGGAAAAGGCAGCAGAGCAGAGAGCCCCGAGCCCACAGCAAGCAGCCTGCATCCGCCCCATGCACAGATCTGGGGGGCACATGCCCCCATGCCTCCTGTGTGGGGTGTGCGCAGTGCCAGGGAGCTGCCCCTCCTCCTTGCCCTGCCCTGTGCCCGTGGACAAGCTGCCCGCAGCTCTGTCCTGCTCCCTGCCCCGGGTCTCATTCACTGTCCTGGCTGGGCAGCGCCCCCTGCCCCTGCCTACTCCCTCACCGTGGGGGTCTTGACCTGCTCCCGCATCCCCCTTCCCCTGCACAGACTTCCCAACAGGGCGCTGCTCTCCTGACCAGGTGCAGCGCAGGGCCCAGCCACCAGACACCTTACATTTATCCATGAACATCATGAACGTCGCCTGCCTCCCGAGGCTGAGGGGGGGCACAGCCACCGCCCGCAGGCGAGCGGGGACTTCCCAAAGGTGGCTGCAGCGGCGTTGGCGAGCGCAGACTGGCGATTAGCAACTACCCACGGACACTGCGGGCAGTGTCGGTGGCACCCAGTGGCGATGGGTGACCGCCTGCAGACGCCGCGGGCAGTGTCGGTGGCAAGGGG